AAGCTTAATACAAAACTTATGGATATTTTTCGACAGTTCGGTAGGCTATAATACAGACACTGGTGCCTACCCCTAGTCCGGTGTCTGTCGGTTGCCCTGATAAAGATTAGATTTTGTGCGAAGGGCATTACTTTTGGAAATAGAAGAGATTTAGAAAAAAAAAAAAAATGCAGAGGAGATTGCCAATTTCATAATTTTTTTTTTTAATTTAAAAACGTAAATTTGGCCGATTCCAATTAAGATGGTAAGTTTTTAATTTTTTTTTTATTTAAAAGTATCATTTTAGCATTTTTTTAAGGATCAATTAAATAATAATGTTAATATGGTAAATGTAGAGTTGATTTTTTATATATATATTAGTTGCATAACAAAATATAACTTTTTTTTTATTTATAACATTTTCTCATCTTTTATCCTACCACATCTGCATACTATGCGAATAGAATTTAAAATTTTTTATTTTCAACAAAAAAATATTACTATTGAACTATTTAGATCGTTAGTTAGAGTTGATATTATTAAATTAAAAAAAACATAAAATTAACATTTCAAAAAAAAATTAAAAAGAAGAAGTAAAGTTGATATTTTTAAATAAAAAAATAAAAGCCTAATGATTTAATTAAAAACAAGTAAAGTTCATATTATTAAATAAAAAAAATTACAAAGTTGATATTTTTATCTACACATTTTCCCTATAGATTTATGTGGATCCTATTCTTTGTGAAGGCTTGTTTCGGTTGGAAGCAATTTATTTGAAAATTTTACGATTACAGAAATTTTTTAATAAAATTTATACTGTTCTTTCTTAATAAAAACTTTCTTTATAAAGTTGATCTCTAATTAAAAAAAAGCTTTCAAATTAGTATTATTTTAACTTCCTTCATTATATTGTCTCTTCCTAATTTGTATTTTAAATTTCAACTTTAATTACTAACAATGAATTTTTTTTGTAAAGGTAAAACTTTAAAACCCTACAACATGATTTTATAACATTTTGTAAAATTAAAAGTTGACTCTTCATTTTCAGGTTTCAAAATTTTGAAATAACTCAATATTCCCCTAGAATTTTCAATTTCTGGCTTGTTTAGTTAAAGGAGTTTAAACCCAGGCTCAAGTAAACTATACTTAAATATGAAATCTTGTCCCAATCAAACTTCCATGACTAATGAGTCTAATTGAATATGAACTCAACTCACCAACTACATTCGTGACCCAATGGGAAGAGTTCAATGTATGACACTTAGATCCGCATATCGAATCCAACTACTTATATTAATCTCTCGCTTTCTAATATTTAATTGTACCATAATTATTATTTTATTTACACACACACACATATATATATATATATATAAACTCAACTCAAGTTTTAGACTCTAATTTGTCCTCTCTATCAAAAGGATTTTACTTTTAATAAATTTTTCTTTAAATTAATAATTTGTGACCATTTATATATTTACATTGAAAAATAAATAATTTAATAATTAAAGAAAACTTACTAAACAACCCAATTTTTTTTTTAAAAAAAAAAACAAACAAGATAAGTAACCCAATTGAAGGGTACTCTTGATGGGCCCATTAAGAGTTATAGTCGCCTTAATAGGTGGTGTATTAAATGGGCTCAAAGCTGTTTACCAAGATGGGCTTCAAGGGACTGAAAATGCAGAGTGAGTCTATTAAGTTTTGACCCATAAAAAAAAAAAAAGGAGAGATAAAAATTGATAAGAATGCTGGAAGGTGGAAGCCGAGGAAAGTTTGCTTTAATTCTTGTTTCCCTCCCTAACTGAAAAACGGAGGATTCATTTCCAGAGACAAAAGAAAGAGGATTATTATTAGCATTCAAGAATAGGTGATGGTTACAGTAGACGAGAATAAGTAAATAACAATATACAAGTATATACTTAATTGCAAAGGCAATAATAGCACATTGTACTGGTTAGAACTTATGCTAACATTTACATCTTCATGCACAATTCTGCTTCATGAACCGAAGTTCACTCTCATCTCGGCTAGAACCTAGCTGGTTCCGATAATTTCTTTGTATGTGTCCTTTATTTTCTGTATCAAAACCTCCCTGAAAACTCAAACATATATATATGGTTTAAAATTAAGACTTATCCATGTCTAATGGGTAAGAACAAAACATGATCGAACATAATGGAAATTTTGGGTTTACCTGTCTGGTTTGAAAACAAGGTTCTTGTACGCAAACCACTGTCAAACACAGATATTTATATGCATTGTTAACACCAATTTATATTACGTTCTTTCCACTTGAAATAACAATGAGCCAAGTTTAATTTCTTACCCCTGTATAACCAATGCCAACCACCTCCAGAACGCCAGGAATCAAAGGAAGCCTATCAATTGCCTGTCAGGAAAAACAGCAATTGTATATACTGTAATTAATTATAACGAACCCCTTTTGATAAAAGGAGGAAAGTCGTCTGTGCACTTGAAGAACCTCACCAAGATCAATCCAATAGAGCCCCAGAGGGCAACAACGCCGGCCACAGCAAGTGAACTCACTGCATACTTGTCCTCAACTTTATCCCACTGTGAACCCGTAACAAAGAATTAACATTCCCCGAAGAATTTAATTATTACAGGACATTGAGATTGAAAATTGAAAATGAAATTCTTACAGTTTCTTGAACGGTTTTAACAATCTCCGGAAGCTCAGTCGCTGCAACTTCCGCTGAAGCCTCTCCTGTTGCCATAGCCATTACATTCCGAGCAATCTTGCGACCTATAAATTTTGGGATCTTTTTTCTTTTTATTAACATACAAACCGTACACACATGATGACAGAGAATTATAAAAAGGAACTTACAGCAAGCAGTGGTCTTCCAGGGGCGGGTTTGAGACGGAGTGGGAGGCGGAGGGAGGGTGGGGATGGTAACACATTGTGGCGAGGTGGCAGTCGGCCGTCGACGAGCCTTGACGTCGACAAGGGTGGACGAGGAAGAGATGGACAGAGTGGTGGAGGAAGATGAAGCCATGGCTGTCGAACCTCTAACAGGAAATTCTCACTCTTCCTTCAGCAGAGATTGTAATTCAAAATGGTGGGTTTTGGTTTTAGATTTTGTTTTTCTGTGTTCTTCCGAGTTTGGAGTTACATAGCCATTCGTTTCATTAATCAAGATAGTGCTGACGTGGCGGCACACGGATAGGGTTTTTATGGTTTTTTATTGGATAGCCGCTGCCACGTTGGATCTCTATGGTGTAAAAAAGATGATGGTATCGGGAATCACTTTTTTGCATAATTTTCACCGTGTGGTTAAATAAGTTGATATATTTAATATTATAAGTTTAATATGAATTAAAAAAATTAATTATTTTAATGATATGTTAGGTTGTACTAGAAGGTTGGATAAAAAAGTTGTACAAATATCATTTCCTTAAAAAAATGAGTGGTGAGATAATCTTTTTATCCCACAATTTTATATAATTTTCACATATCATTAAATGAGTGAATGCATTTAATATTATGAATCTTATATGAATTAAAAGAATCAATCATTTTAACGACACATTAAGTTGTACAAAAAAAAAAGATAAAAAAGTTATTCAAATATCATTTCCCAAAAAAATTGTATCTTCGAGTTTATATTGCACTGAATTGTACAATTAAACTATTAGATAAAAAAAAAGTAAATCTCTAATTATTAATAATTATAAATTGAAAAAAATTAAGATATTTTGATATTTAAAATATTAAAAAAATAATAAAAAAATTAAAATATTCTTAATAAATTAACAAATAAATTTTTTTAAAAAAATATTTAAATAATGTTCTAACACTCTTGACATTTAAAATAAAAAATATTTTATTTTTCACAATTCTCTAATAATTATTCTTATTCAATAATTTTTATTTTGAAGTTTAATGCAATAAGGGATTGGAAGAAGGAAATAAAGAAATGCTTATTATAAAGTAAAAACTTATAAACATGCTTTGTGTAATCTTCTTTTAGATGCCCAAAATATGTCGTGTAATATAAGTTAACGGGTTTCACTAAAAACAAAAAAACAAAATGTAAGTTAACGGGCCCAGTCCAGTTCGTTTTGTCGTTTTTACTGGGCTCAAATGGGCTAAAGCTGAGAAAAATATAAAGCCCAGGTGACTGTCAAATCTTCAACACAAAAGGTTGAAGCTATTGAGTGGATGCATCATGCTGTGCATTCCCAAGGGAAATAATGGTGTATTCTACAAAGAATGGTAAAAAGTGAAGTTAGAAGTGACCAAAATAGGCTATAGCAAAAAATAACGATATTTACGTTTTACATATTAGATTTTACATTCACACACCTGACTTTGTAGGCCGTTTGGTAATGGTGTGTATTCTAAACGCATGGGGTTGGATTCAATCCCCCTACCTCCAAAAATTACCCTTGATAAAAAAAAAGAAAAAGAAAAAAAGATTAGATTTTGCATTCAGTCTAAATATTAGAATTATTAGAATTATTTTTTTATCTTAATTACATAATGAAAAGTAATCATTTCTCATCTTTTATTTCAATTAATCCGTATGTCATGCGACTCGAACTCAAGATCTCTTATTTTTAGCGAAAGGAAATAATTACTGAATTATTTAGGTCGTTAATTAAAATTATTAAATTATTATTAATAAAATTATTTTTATTAATAATATCTTAATAAAGAAAAAAAAAGCAAAATGTTTTAATATTAAAAATATTAAATATTCAATTATAATTATTAAATACATGTGAAATAATATATGTCATAATTTTATCAAATTTATCGTGTGATTATTATTATACGTCTTAATTTTTTTTAATAAATTTATAAATTAAATTATATTTTTCAGATACAATTTAATCCATAAAATACCTTTTCAAAAAGATGAAAGATTTGTGAAACTTGAGGAGATTACCAAAGAGCGACAGGAATTGGCTAGAAAGGGTTGAATTATTACTGCCTAAAGGAGGAGAGAAAGGATACCTTTCTTCTCTGTGTAGGTAATCAGAACCCAAAGATGCCCCTACATAAGATAAGAGTTTTTTTTTTTAATTTTTTTTTGTCTTATCCTATATTTTTACTCGGTTAACTATTCCCAATAATATTCTGCTTCTCTTAATATGAATTAAAATTGGTTTGGAACATCAAAATTCATTTTTTAAAGGAGTGTTTCTAGTTCTAGTTTAATTCTCCAATTTTAAAAAGACTAGATTATTATCTACACGCCGAAAGTTAAAGCATGCTTCCAGAAATTTCCCCAATAGAAGCATAAATCACCTTTTTCAACTTTGACCACTTTTCATTGACTTTGATAATTTTTTTATTTTTTATTTTTGGAAAAGTGAAAAATTTTCCATGGCTGTACGGTGTGATGAAGGTGTGGTGGTGGGGCCGGTGGAGGTCCGGGGCGGAAGACGAGGGTGGGTGGGGAGGAAGGTGGGGTCTTATGGTTTTCCCAAAACACAGTGTTTACGAGGACATCTCTGATGAGATCCAGAAGCAGGAGGGAATCAATCTCTGACGGACCACCGGACCCACCACCCATCCCCGTTTCCCACCACTCGCCTTAATGTTGTTTAACAATATATATTTTTTTTTAACGATAACAAACAAAGATTTTGGGGTGTTCACTTCAGGGTTTTAAAGATTTTTTTAAAAGTATAAATAACAATAAATATTAATATTTATCAATTAAATTTATAAAAAAAATTAGGTAAAAAATTAAAATTGTATCATTTTAATAAAATATTATGAAAAATGTTAAAATATTTTCATCTCTTTTTTTAAAATAATTAAAATATTTTATTTTTTAATAAGACTTTATTAAAATAATATAATTTAAGATATTTTTTATTTAATTTTTTACAATATAAATTGTTATCTATTTTTTTATAATAATTATTTATTATGAAATATTAACTATAAATTATATTTAAAATTAATCCAAACACCCCCTTACTCTAGGGAGTTTAAATAAAAAATATTAACGCAACATGGTATAAAATATTGACAAAGAAAGACTTACTTAAGTTTGATGTAGTTGTCTGCTATTTATTAATATT